CCGCCCGGGCCCCGCTCCATGGGAGGATTACAGTTCATGCTGCCACTTGCCAGATTTAAAAAAATTTAAAATTACATTTAATTAATAAAATTTATTAATTTGCTTATTGATTTTGTGTGTATGTGTATGTGCTACGATGCTCACGTGGAGGTCAGAGGACCGCTTTTGGGAACTGGTTCTTTCCATCCTGTGGGTCCTGGAGATTGAACTCAGGCAGTCAGTCTTGGCAGAAAGTGCTTTCTTGGGTTGGCCTCATTGCCCCTCCCAGCTTTTTTTTTTTTTTTTTTTTTTTTTTATTTTTTTTAATGTGGGAGCATGTGGGCAGAAGCTGGAGGAGGAGGTCTGATTCGGCTCTGTAAAGCTCCACTTTATTCCTTTGAGACAGGGCCTCTCTCTGAACCCAGAACTTGGGCTGCTCCAGCAATTCTCTCTAGGCCTGTTAGACAGCAAGCCCCAAGAATCCTCCTGTCTCTAACCCTGACAGCCCTGGGCCTGCAGGCACGCATGTGGCCACGTCTGCCTTTTTTTGGGTGCTAAGGAACCGAACTCAGGTCCTCATGCATGCACAGCAAGCATTCTTACCCACTGAGCTGATTCTCTAGTCCTCAGTCTAACAAATTCTAATGTAATTTGTGTTGTAAAATTTCAAATTTTGAGTTAAAATTTACCAGCCTTTCTTTTCTTTACCATATGGTATTGAGAATATACTCAAATTAACCAAAGTTCATAAAGATATTTTCCTGTTATAATTTGTATTTTATCTTTTGTTATTTGGCATGGTTTTACTTTTATAAATAGTGTGATGTAGCTCTTATAAATTTTAAAGCCATTCATTACCCTTTTATTGACAAATCTTGTCTCCAAATGGATCTGAACTCACTTAAAAATTGTATCTACTTAAGAGGAACAAAGTTTTATATGTCAAAATAAAAAACATAGATAAGTAGATGTTTTAGTGGATTTTAAACAATGCTTTTCTTTAATGTTAAGATTTTATACCACTTAGGACATTAGGGGAAAATGTCATATGTTCTGAAGAAAAGTTTTATCTTAAAAAGGTAGTAAATATTTGCTGACATTTCAGGAAAAAGAATGGTAATCTATATTTTACAAGATTCTTTGGATAACTTACAATGGAATTTTAGTTTAAAACTGATGTAGTCAAACAAGTGCTTTTTAGCTTCCATGGATAAAAATTCCAGGAACACACTGCCTTCAAGGCATATCTAGGTGGAGGGTTCTGACTGAGCCAGGTAGGCAAAGACCTCCAAGCTGCTAACTTAGAGCTCTTTCAACTTTTCTTTTCTTTTTTCTTTCTTTCTTTTCTTTTTTCTTTCTTTCTTTTTTTTTTGGTGTATTTGAGACAGGGTCTCCCTGTAGCCCCAGCTGTCCTGGAACTCACTATGTAGACAGGCTGGCCTTGAGCTCACAGAGATCCACCTGCCTCTGCCTCCTGAGTGCCGGGATTAAAGGTGTGTGCCACCATGCCCGGCTCTTTCAACTCTTTAGTAGAAGAATCCTACAGCAAATCCTTTTTAAAAAATATTTTATTTATTATTTTTATTTTATGTGTACGTGTGTATTGCCGGCATGTAGGTAAGTGCATTCATGTCATGCAGTGCCCTCAAAGGACAGAAGAGACTGTTGGATCCCCTGGAACTGGAGTTACGGACAGTTGTTAGCTGCCATGTGGGTGCTGGGATTTGAACCCAG